TAAGGTGACTATATTTGGAATAAACTGTGTCATATTATCAAAGGGGCTTCTTGAGCTTTCTTGCTTCTTCTGTGATTATTTAGATTTTCGGTGTTTCTCAGAACCCAGAGAAGACTAATGAAGTGCACAGCCACAGAAAGACAGACAGCAAGAGAGGCTAGAAAGTGAGTCTGGGAAAACATTCCATAGACAAGGAAAAGAAGGAATGAAGGGAAAAAGGAAAGACTGGACAGACATTGATATTCTTCTATAGGTTTACGTGCTCAAAATCCATCAATATCAAAATCTCTGGATAAAAACAATTATAATAATGAGGCTATGACAAATGAAAATGCATACATTGACATTTGAAATGGTTAAAAATGTAACAGGTGGAAAATATTTGATTTAGTGTAAATTTGAAGTGTTACATGAAAAATACTATGGATCTGCCTCTTGTGGGAGCTCGGGGGGGGGGGGGGGGAGGGGGGTGTATGTCCTAGACTGAAGGTGTTGACTAGACGCTAATGAGTCGGCTCCATTGAGAGGTGACAGTACAGCTGATAACCCACTTTCCAACCAGAGAAGACCTCTTTATAAGGACTTTCTGACTGATCGTCCCACCCCAAAATAACCCTCTCTGATTCCTAATCCGGTGGACGGGAACTGCACGCATGCCAACATGTTTCCCCCTCAGTGCAACTCACAAACTTGTGCATTCACTCATACATGCAAACAAAAGGTTCCTTTTAATCCAGATTTACAAATGCAATGTGTTAATGGTCTTTGCTGCATATGTTACTTTGTGCATCCCCTTCAAAAGAATTGTGCAATGCATTGCAACGTGAACTGGGTTTAACTTTTACACGACATTCTAATATTTGGAGTTTCACCTGTAGTAATATTAATAATACAAAAAAGTTTTTGCTTCACTTTAACTTAAAATTGTACTTGCTCCAGAGAAACGTTTCATTCATGAGAAGCTGATGTGTTAAAATATTAATTTTTCTGTTGATGAATTGCTTTCTTGGCATTTCAAGAACCCAAATCTATCAAACTGATATTTAATTAGTTCATGTCCACCAGTCCGTGCTTAGATGCAGTTTCTTTTCTCAGTTTTTACACGATGGCTCAAAATTGGTAATGAGAAAAGCATTAGATCATAACTAAAATTACATTTTCTATTACTGTGGTTTTGCATCTTTACAGTTTCTGAGCTTTGTTTGGTCACACCTCATCATGGAAATGACATGTTTATTATGAATTCTCACAGGTTTGATCATCTCTGGTTCCCTTTTTCACTTCACTGTAAATGTCTAACCGCCTACACGACCCATCCACACGTTTCTATTTTTGTTGGACCATTTCTGGCCCAGAGTATTTTTTCCCCCATTATGATCTAGTTAATTTTAGGGTTTCGACGGAAGGTTGTTCCAACATTCTCCATGTGCCGCCATGCCTCCAAAACAAAACCACAACTCTGTAATTATAGTTTGACAATGAACCCATCTGACCAGGAGCTGACCCAACAACAGAAAATAAACTAACAAATGTCAGTTTTTATCCAAGAGGAATGAAAGTGCTGAGGTCAGAGGAGCGGTGAATGTCACTCATGTTGCTTCTGTCATTCCTCAAGTGGCCTTCTGCCTCATGAGCGATAGCCCGAGAAAAGGGGCAGCAATCTTATCATGGGAGGGAGCTCACAGAGAAGGGAGGAGAGCCAGACCGCAGCAAAAAAGGCTGCTCGGGAAAAACACACATGCATGCACACACACACACACACACACGCACGCACACACACACACACACACACACACACACTAATCTGCAAAGAGATAATAGCTTTGATAAAAGCTTAAGTCAAACTGAATCTGTGCATGCTTTTTATTTACTTCACAGAAAATAATTTTTTCTATTCTGTTTTGTGAAAATCAGCCTTTTAGACCCGTGTTTTCTAAAGGGAGGAGCTGTAAATTTGACAGTGTGGACATTTTCTTTGCAGATTACATTTCACAAAGCTAAATGAGCACAAAAACATCTCCAAAGTAACGCTAAAAGATAAATTCATACATCTGGTCTCAAAACTGAAAAGAGATATTTGGACATTTGGAGACATGGAATACAAGGTTTTAGGTTTTGTGTTATCTTTTGTTACTGAAAAAAAGTCATGTTGTTCTGTTTCTGTCTTTTCCAACACACACACACACACACACACACACACACACACACTGTTCTGTGAGCGGTGGTATTCCAATGCTCCGGGTCTTTGTTATATCTCAAGTGGATACTGTGTCATTCCCAGGAATCCTAAACGAAGATAAGGAATGCTGTTAAACCCAACGACTGGAGAGCTCCTATAGTTGGAGAGTGCTGGGACATGGACAGGGGGTGGGACAGCGAGCTGAACAGGAAGTTATTCAGAGGGGCTCACCATCAGAACAAGAGGATTTACTAACACCATTCCATTCTTCAGTCACTCTGCAGCTGCTCCCAGATATCTCAGGGACTCGTGGGACAAATTCCATGTGATTATTTATTTGTGTGTTGAAATCTACTGTGTATTTTTTTATTGTTATTATTTAAGTTTTTTGTTTTTCTTTAGTCTGCTGGCTTCTATATTTGTGGGGCTGTGGAATTCAGCTGTTGATAATCAGATTACCTTAAAAAATACTTTAGGAAGTTTTAGGATAAAGATCTGTTTTTAGATTTTTTTTCAAGTGCACGTGTTCTTCTTTAATTATTAAATCCTAAATCCACCAAACGCGCTCCTTTAGAATATTTTTGCACAGTTATGAGCTGGATTCATCTTTTCTGAAAATATATTATTGTTTTATATAATGTTTCCCTCTAAGGCAGCAGTCTGGTGGTTTGGTAAGAATACATCACTTCTGCCATTGAATCTGTGCACAAGTATACAGTGCTCAGCATAAATGAGTACGCCCCACTACATTTGTCAGAAAGCCCTTAGTTTCCTTTCAGAATCAACATTTTCTATGAGATACCAAACAACAAAATACTCCCACAAATGTGGGCCATTGGTCACAAACAAGATTTGTTAATTTTCACATACAAAAAGTGATTTTCCTAACAAATCCATTCAAGCCCATGTTGCATAAATGAGTACACCCTATTTATAGTCTTAGGAGAAAAGCCACACTTAAGACTACAACATTCAAATGAACAGGCAGTCAACCACAGGTGAGTCTAATGGTTCATTTAAGAGGTGTCCAGCAGACAGGTGACTATAAAAGGGCGTTACTTAATAAAGAAAAGCCCTTCCCATTTCATGCTGTCAGCAGTGGCTCCACATGGATGATAAATGTCACTAAATCTGAGAAAGGAAATCATTTCTTTACACATAAAAGGTGAGGACTACAAGATCAGCAAAGCTTTACACATCAGTCAGACTACTGTAGTAAAAGTGATCCAAAAATGTAAGAAAGGTGGAAGTGCAACATCTTACAGAGACGTCCAGGCCGTCCACGGAAGTTAACATCTCGACAGGAGCATCTTCTGATGAGATGGGTTGATGAAAAGCAGTAGAAAGCCGAACATGAGGGACTGTTTCACGTGACACCATATGACGCACACAGCATCTCCTAAAGCCCATGCACAAAAAAGCACACCTAAGATTAGCTACAGCCCATGCTAGAAAAGATGAAGACTACTGGGACTCTAGACTCTGGAGTGATGAGACAAAGAACTAATGGTTTCCAAACTGTATGGCGTCATAAAGGTGACGATTTCAAAGAGAAATCCATGGTGCCAGTGAAGCAGAGGAACATCTCTGAAGAAGAACAGGGTGAAGGTGATTGAACGGACATGTATGTTTCCTGATCTGAACCCAATCCAACACCTGTGGGGACTTCTGAAGCAGCAAGTTGATCCTCACTCTCCCTCCAGCATCCAGGCTCTAAAAGAGGTTATTCTTGAGGACTGGATAAAGATAGATGTTGCAATATGTCGCCAACTTGTTCATTAGAAGACTTGGTGCTGACCTTGGAGAAAAAAATCAGTGGTCATACAAAATCCTAGATGTAGTTTTGTTGTGGGGTATATTCATTTTTGCTTCATCCAATTTTAGTAAAACTGAAGATTTTGTGATCTGAGTTATATTATTAACCTTAATTTCATGTTATGGAGTTAAACAAGTGTTCAATAAACCCAGCCTTGTGAACATTCTGGAAATTGTTCATTGAGTTGCTGATTAAATTAGTACTTTTTAAAGGGGGTGTACTCATTTATGCTAAGCACTGTATAATATAAATAAAAATCTAAGTAATTCTTGTTTAAACACCATTTATTTACTTCTGCATCAAGTGTAAATAAACCAATATGAAATTAGTCAGAACCAATTATGAATTAGTTTCTATTTTCAATTTTGACATCTTTCTCTGCTGCTTCAGCCTCTCAGCAATATTATGTTTGTGATCTAAATGGAGTTCATTTGGATGCTGTGGGTAAAGGATGTTGTATTTATCTTTAGCTAAGCATGAAGTTAGAAAGAAAATGTAGGTGGGAGCTTAATGAAGCTGCAGGGATGAATTAATAACTTGGAACGTGCAGCATTCAAATCCTCCACGTGGATCTTGTATTTTGTAGTTTTGCGCTGTACGGTTACCATACATGTGATGGTTTTAGACTTTTTTCTACAGCTGATCATTTAAATTATTCAAACCTGCAGCCTTAAAACTAAAATGTGACAAACAGGAAAACCTCTCAGGCGCTGAAAAACATTAAAAAGCTCAAGTTTACTGCATACTAATTTATGATCTGTTTCAAGATATAAACTTTTTTGTATTAGTTGTGTACAAAATTGAGCAGTGATGCATGATTAAATTAACGCATAAATGCCCAATTTGAAAACCCTGACTCCAATTTTAAACCTATCAATGTATCCGTTAGTAGAGCTGCATGACTGACTTTTTTCTTCTGACATAAAGACAAGTATTTACACCATGGAAAACAAAGATGGACACATTCAATAAAAAACTACATTTCAGCCTCTAAACACATCATAATCACTTTTCCTGGAAGTTTATTAAAACTTTTAACAAAAACAGAAAATGTATTTTTCTGATTATTAATCAGTGTTGATATTTTTAAAGAGTCCAGTTCAGTAGATTGCTCTTTCTAAATTCGAAAGCACTAAAAACACTCATGGTGCCACCCGCCGGCCCTCTTGTATGCGTCCTTCTCACAGTCTCTTCCTCATCTTGCCCTTCTTCTGGCCGCCGCGCCCGAAGCCGGACTTCTTCACCTCTCCCAGCCACTGTTTGTTCTTGGAACGGATTTTCTTCATCCCTCCTTTCTGCAGGAACTGCTGCTTCTGCTTGTGTTTGCGGGTCTTCATTATCTGCGCACTCGTTTTCAGCTCCGAGCGTATTCTGCGGCCGCCGGACGTCACCTGGGGTCCGGCAGAAGGGCGGGGGTTGGCGCCTCGGCGGCCACGACCTGGGAGAGAAAAGTGATACGGGGTAAACCTGACCTGTAGATGTCGGCTTTAGCCTTTAAAAACCTTCAGACCACAAATGCTTTTAATTTAGCAGGTTTTTATTTTTCTTTAAACTAACTGTGGGAGTCGCATGTCATCATCTCAGTATGCTGCTCAATGACATCATCACTGTAGACTTCTAAAAGGGTGTGCTAAGCTACGTAACATTTGGTTCAAGACTAATATTTCCCCAAAATTTATATGGAAAAGTTTACTTCTGAACACATTTTCCACAAAAATAAAACTGTTTTGCATTTTGTGAATTTTGACTCATTCCATTTGCCGTACCTCTTGCTGACCCCCTCCTTCCTCCTGCTGCTGCTGCTTCTCCATCAGATCCATATCCTGCATCGTCAACCTTGTACTTTTTCTTCCACTCCTCATAACTGACAGCTTGTTAAGCATCACAACTCCTAAGCCATACAGCTAAATAGTGTGTGTGTGCGTGCGTGCGTGTCTTTATTAGGGATGCATCGAGTATTTTCGGCCGAAAAACCAGAATCACCAAAACTACGCGACCGAAACAGGCTGTCATTTGAACCCCGTTTTCAGTTCATCTCACTCCGCCCTCATCTTGCTTTGTGCCTCATAAAAATCTTACTTTTAATGCTGTTTTATTACGATCACTGGAATGTTCCTATCCATTATGTCACGCACTTTATACTTTCAAATTCACATCTACCACGTCTTCCCAGCATTTTGACCCCTTCGTTAACATACCGCTACGTCCGTCACTATTAGCGGTGTTTTTCACAGGGGAGACGATTCAGTATATCACAATATTTTGCAATACGTTCAGCCAGACAAAATTTGTGATTTTTTTAGACTGAATTTATTGTAGGGAAATTCAATAAACTGTCCACACTGATACTTAACATGTTTAACATGAGGCATTTGAACCATAATAGAGGGATTTACATTTCAATGGTGGAAACAAAACTCATCGCACACTGCTGCCAACTAGCGGTCGGCGTTTGAATAGAGCTCCGGACGTCACGTGACTCTCAGAGAGTAAACGCCATGTTGGCAGGCAAAAAAGGTAAACAAAATGAACAGGATCGGCTTGGATTTTACTGCGTGGAGTTTACTTCACACTTTAAAGCCGAAGAAATCGTTTTATAAAGTCAGAAATTAAATAGACTAAACATCTCTGGCCCTTACCGTGCCCCTGGGATACTTTTTAAAATGCCAGAAGCTGCCGGAGCGGACCTCTTACCGGATTTGAGATACCCTGACATTTATAATTTCCTTGTTAATTTTCCCTCGTCCTACTCCGGAGCATCGCTAAGAGCATATAAAAGCCTGGAGGGATACAAATGGACTCAATCAGGGTTTGTTGTCAGTATCCAGATCTGGATTCTTCCTGCAAAGGACAGCGCTTTTGTCACCGGGAGGGTAAGTGGAGATTTTTGTTACCATTAGCAATAGCCCGTTGCAAGGTTATCTCTGTGTGATCAACCATTGCTTAAAAATTAAATACAGCTTAGCCGGTTAATTGCTGTGATCATAAGACACGTAAACGGCAGCACGCAGAAATCACAAGGCAACGTTTTACGTGATGTTTACTTGTTGCTGTGAGTAATAAGACAGAAAAAGCCACGCCAAAATAAGTTTAAGAAGTCCACTAAGAATCGTAATAAAAGCATTTAAAATAAACACCATACACAGTTGAGGAAACGTTGGTTTAAGTACCTGATATGAAGTGGTCGCTGCATAAGTGAAAACCTTTACTCTCGGGATCCCACAGTTTCATTTTAGCCTGGAGACTAGCGGGTTTTATTACAATGATCCAACGTTTGTCGCGTTCTGGATCTTGGGGAATCCTGTTGAAGGCTCTTCCCTTATCTCATCCGCGTCTGTTCTGCATCCTGGGGCATAACAGGAATCGACCATATTTCCTGTTTGATTGAGTTTTCTGACCATAACAAATAGCCTAGCTGCGGGCTACTGCCTGCCATGATGGCGCTATACAAGTGCAGGTCATTTATCATTTATCCTTTGTCTTTACATGTTTAAGTGGACAAATTTTGACTTTAACCTGTAACGTGTGGACATTTCCACATTGTGGGGACATTTTGCTGGTCCATACAATGCTAAGCACCCTAATACATGGTTTTAGAGGTACGGTATGATTAACTTTTAGTTTAGGTTTGGGTTCAAATTAGGTTATGGTTAGGGTATGGGTTAGGCATAATGAAGTCACAAAAATTTCAATGACTCTCTTGGGAAAGAGGTTTTAAATCTCAAAGGGACCATTCCTGGTTAAATAAAAACACAAATGGAGGTCGATGAAGGTCCACTTCAGCATATCGATGCGTGTGTGTGTGTGTGTGTGTGTGTGTGTGTGTGTGTGTGTGTGTGTGTGTGTGTGTGTGTGTGTGTGTGTGTGTGTGTGTGTGTGTGTGTGTGTGTGTGTGAAAAGAAAAAAAATCAGACTCAAAACACAATTTGCAAGAAGGATACAAGTTCTTCTTCTTGTTGCTAACGATCTGACCACTCTCTGTTTTCATCCTCTTCTTCTTGTCCTCCTTTCCCGATTCTCTTACAAAACGCTTCCTCTTACGGTCCCTGTAAAAAAACAAGACCATAAACCAAATTGTAAAATCACAAAATCAGAGATTTAAAGAGTCTGAGTGGGTGAGTAAATTTTAAGCATCACCATTTCATGTGTTTCTTGTGCTGATTTAGCTGATCGCCCTCGTCTCCCATCAGGTCGAGGACAGCGGAGGAGGCTTGTTGTTCAAAATGACTGGCCTCTCCACCGAGACTCAACCTGGTCATACAGAAAACAGAACGTTAGGAGGTAAAACACACCAACTTTTTCTTATTATTTAGATTTAAACTAATAAATCAGGCCTCACCCTCGCTCTGAGTCAAAGTCTTTAGGTCTGTAAGGGATGAAATACTCCTCGTCTTTACCCATTTGCCTGATTTTCTTGTTCTTTGGACGCTCCTCTCCATCTTCCTTTGTGTTTTTTCTCTTACCACCAACCACCTCTGAAAACACCCCCTGGTGGAAACATTGAGAACTTCATCTGATAAACCTGATGCACGGTGTCTTTCACTCATGTTTTGATACTAGAAAAAGTATTTGAACCCGTTCAACGTCACGTCTGTATTAAAACTCAAACCTCAGACAGGTATTTATAAAAATAATTCCTGCACGGGTATTTATGTTGTTCTGTAACAAGGAGAATTTGCTCAATTCTTCAAACCCTGCATAGGTTAACTGCAAAATTAAAGAGCATATTGCAGGTTAGAGCCTCCTTTGAACAAATGTTTAGAGAATCATAATAGGAACTCGTTCTAACTAAAAATTTACTCATACTTGTTAATATCTGTTCATGTAGCGTAGCTTAGCGCTTTAGAGAGAGGGAGCAGCGTCTCATCCTTTTCAGAGCAGGTGGTTCGAACCATGGGTCTGACCCAGAAACCGGCTTCCCTGGCTCGCTGGGATTTAACTACCTGCCATCCTGTCCTGGAAGTTGTGGCGGGGTGCTGCGGCCTGGTTCTGTCCCAGGTACCAGCTACGCTGGCTCCCCTGGCTAACTAGGGATTTTGAAAGCTGCCAGTCCTAATATGGGGCTCAGCACGGACCTCCCTGACCTGGTTCAGATGCTGATCTGGGCTCTAGGAGCCTGCAGGTATTTTTCAAAAATATGGGAGGCATGTTAAACTCCCATCACATCACTGGGATTGTAATCCTCTGGCCTGAAGTGCGCACCACAAACAACAGTGTTTTCAGCTGCACAAAACGCACCAGAAACAGAAGATAGTGCCATTCATTCTCTTATTTGGAAACCTGAGGACTCGATGTCCAGACCCGCTGGAGTTTGTACATCCTCCACAAACACAAAGGTTTACAATTTTTAAGAAAAATGAACGCAATCCAAAACTAGTGCACACACACACTGACTCCATAACACAACCCCTCTACCCAAACACTACCTACTGGCCACACCGAGCTTCAGGCAGGACTAGCTGACACCTCACTGTCGTTACGTCAGATGTTAAAACTTAGTTTTAAAAAGTGTTTTTAAAAGCTTTGCTGAAAAAAACAAAATACCCACAATAAGCATATCAAATTGTATTTTTGGACAGCGTTTTATATGAAAAAATAATCAATTGGCCTGCTATTTGTTCTTTAAATTAAATTCAGGCAGAACAGGTTCATTTATAACTGATTTGGGAAAATAAAGAAACATCCACCTTAAAAATGACATGGAGTTAATAAAACTCCAGCTGGAATCAGAATTTGAATGTGTATTGAATGTAATATGTAATGTTGAAGTGGTATTGTTTTTACCTTTAGGTCCTTGTCGTCCTGGCCTGTGCTGTGCATCAGGCCACTATTAGCAGCTGATTTGGACTGCTGCAGCCTGCTTTCTGCAGCCAGGTCGTCTCTGTGCTTACTGAATTTGTCCACTAATCGTGTGTCCTTTGAGCGTTTCTTTCGCATCACCTCACTTGCAGGTGTCTTACTGCTTGAGTTGATTTCAAAAATAGTCTGTGTAAAAAAAAAATTTTAACAGTACAGGTATAAACTTTTCACAACGGTTACCACGACATTAAGGCTCTAAAAGTTTTGCCGCTGACTTACAGATTTGGATCTATATCCCTTAATGGCATCGACTATCTGAAGGCGCTCCAGTTCCATTTTCTCCAAACCGGAACCTGAAAGTAAACCAGTCAGTTTTCCAAGAATCATAATCAAAGATGGTGTTTTCAATCCGTCCTCAGACTGACCTAGTAATGGATGCACCATCATAGTGGACACATCTGTGTTTTTGACCCGTCTGATGGACTCTGTGGAGGGGTTCGGCCTGGACTTTAGATACTGCTTGTAAGCGTTCTCTGAGACATGGTGCAGATTCTGTAGCTCCAGGGATTTCTCATGAGCCACAATCAGATGAGAACTTTCATCATCCAAGATGCTCTGAGGGACTCTTCCGAACACACCGTCTGAATCTGGAAAAGACGTGTCACTTTTTACATAAGAGACACCTTCTCTATGATGTCATCAGCTTAAGGATGTGGTTGTTGGTTTACCTTGTGTGTGGTCGGCTGTGGCAAACTGGACGGGCCTTCCAAGAAAGAGGTGGAGATCGTAGACGAATGGCATCTCATCAGGACAAATCATACTGTAGGCTGTCCCGCTGCGACCCGCACGCCCCACACGACCTGATGGGCAACAAATGGATCATAGATCAAGTGATCCTATTAATTAGGAGGCAAATAGTGATAAGAAACGTTCAAGCACTTCATCCACCATGTGTCCTCTAGGTTTACTAGAGGTAGTTATGGTGTTCCACAAGGTTCTGGACTAGGTCCTTTTTTGTTCTCTCCGCTTCATTTTTTTTTTATAGTATCATTATTAGGAATTAAACATGAATTGTCTCTGTTTTGCTAAAGGCACCAGCTCTATTTATGAGTGAAGCCAGTTGGTTCTGACTCGCTGATTTTACTACAAGCTTCTAAAACTTCTACACTTATTTCCTGATGACACAAATACTTTTCATAACTTGGTTTTTATTTCAGATGCAACAGTTAAAAAATGCTGGAGCCATGTTTAATAAAGAATTGTTGTTTAACTTTCTATTATCTGTGTAACATATTGAAAATCAGGAGCATATTTGTTGAGATGTGACACTAAAACACTGGTGCATAACTTTTTAACTTGTAGACTGTGGGTGATGGTGGGTTAGGAGTTAGCCCTGTAATCGATGGGTTGCAAGTTCGAACACAGGCAGTCATGTATGTTATTGTGTCCTTGGGCCAGACACTTCATCTTCTTGCCTGCCGGTGGGACTGATGTGCCTGTGCTCGGCAGACTGGCCTTGTTCAGTCCACCCAGGGCAGTTGTAGTTTCAATCTAGCTCATCAATCCCAGCATGTGAATGTGTGTGTGAATGGATGAATGATCCACTGCAGTGTAAAGCACTTTGGAGCCCTCTGACTCTGAAACATGCTACACAAGTGAAGGTTGTTTATCACATAAATTATTGGGAGACAAATAGTTTAAAGCTGTTCACTCAACTCTATTCAGCCCTTTTAAGTGTGTTTGAAAACACTTTATAAATAAAGTTGAGCATTTGAAGCACTAACCAACTCTGTGCAGGAAGAGTTTGGCCTTTGAAGGGAAGTTGTAGTTGATGACATTGTCCAGCAGGGGGATGTCTATACCACGGGCAGCGACGTCAGTCACCAGGAGCACCATGGCTTTCCGGTGCACAAACTTCCCGATGTTGATCTTCCTGGCTGTCTGATCGAGGGCACTGTAGATGTAGGAGCACTCTATCCCTTCAATAGACAGCAGCTGGAGAACCAATCAAAATCAGATTTTTTCTAATGGGAGCTGGTATTTTTAGAGTGAATGAGATGGTTCTCACCTCTTTCAGGTACTCTACATGGTGCTTGGTGGCAGCAAACACCACCGTCTGCTCCTGAGGTTTCACCACATTCCTCAGCAGGTGTAGCAGCAGCGCTGGTTTGTCATCCACACGCAAATGGAAGAAGGACAACTAAAACAGGCAAGAAAAGAAACCAATGGAGCCACTTCTTCAAAATCAGCACCTTCAAACAAGACAAAATCCTATAGCAGGAGGCTTATGTTTCTTGCATTGCATCAATGGAGTTTATGGAAAGAAATAAATTACTTTGCCTATAATTAGGTTTATTGTTCGGCCCGTGGGAGGCTTGATAAAAAAGTTTCATTGGAATTTCCTCCGTAAACAACCACGAAATACGAAAGAGATGATAGGAAGCGACCCAGACTCTCTGAAGAAAGCCCGGACTCCTGCAGCAACGGACAGTTTGTGAGGCTCAGTTAGTTCATGGCAAGCCCTTGTGACCAAGTATTTGTTCATTAGCGAAGAGGTTTTTAAAAACGTTCATCTTTTTAAATCCACAGAGTCATGTTGTTTTGCCGTTCAGATTCAGGTGTCTCAAACCACGATCATGAAAATAAGTAAATAAGTAAATAAATAGGACACTGATTAACGAAGTCTTACCCAGCTTTGCGGTCGCTGTGAGGATTTATCTGTTTTCTTTGGCCATCACCCACAGGTGATGTAAACAACGCTATGACTATCGGAGCTAACTGCTGCTTTTTGCACGACCAGGTTTCTGTTTTCAGAAGAGATCGGCTCAGCTTTCCTTAAAACAAAATAATCGTAGGCCTCTAGACGTTTGAAAGCCTTTCAAGAGCACAAGGCTTTCTGTTGAATAGGAATAAATATCTCCCCAGCAGATTTGTGAAAAAATACAACGGCGAATGGCACCAACGTTTTCTGTCATGCCAGAGCTCATAAATAACTTTAAAGCTCTAAAGCATCTCTTGCCTTTAGACGGTAAAGTGTTTATATATCTGGGATTTCGCCAGCAAACTCTCCTAAAAGTTTATGTCGCGATAGCGGGTCATCTTGTGTTTGTTTAGCCACCCAGCTCTCGCGTGTATGCACAAAGATGAAAACAGATGTCAACAAAGATCCTCCTATAGAGGACCAGGAAGATAAACAAAACACCTTCAACTGAAAGTTGTCTGGTCAAATGAGTTGAGAGCGACTTGCTTCGCCCCTACGTTCAACATAAACAGAACGCCATTTATCGTACGTCTTGTTAGTAGTAATAAGGTGCTTTTGGGCTGTTGTGCTGCACCTTGACCAGTAGATTTAACAAAGCAATGAAAAAACAAACAAAAACAGTTAAAACAGACGTCATTGTACACAAACAAAAAAAGTGGCTGCATGAAAGATAAAGCACAAGATGGCTCACTGTTTTCAAAGTTATCAGCTTATTCATGAGGCAAAAAGTGGTCAAAACGTCAAACAAAGGTTTCTTTGAGTGTGGCCAAAGTGTAAAACGCAAGAAACATTACAGAATGTGCCTTTTTAACGTCCGTCCGTCCGTGCGTGCGGCTAGCTACACTGACTACCAAAAGCATAAAGCTCTACATTTTACTTTGTCCAAGCTTTCAGACCCCAAATCATTACAAATCCTAAATGAGTGGTAAATCCTGAAGCCTAAGACTTTTATCACATTTGAAATTTGTAGCTATATTACTGTAGCAAGCCTAAAATATCAGAATGAATGATGGCCAACATGAACAAAAATAACAGACCAAGTCCTCTCTTTACCTTAATCTGGTCACTGAGTTTAGAGTCCACATCCAGGCGAATCAGAACCGGTTCAACCAGCCCTGGAAATGAAATAAAGTTCATGTATACAACATGGACACCCAATTGAAATAAGTGGATTGCTTTAAACACATTGGATTGGCCCAGGGTCAATTGATGCAAATTAACTAAATGCTTCTGCAAACTGGAGCTACAAGACCTCACCCACCCGCTCTGGCAAACTCCATCAACAGTTTGGGAAGTGTGGCAGAGAAGAGCAGAGTCTGTCTGGTGTCTGGGAGCCTCTGGATGATTTCCTGAAGCTGCTCAGCAAAACCCATTTCAAACAACCTGCACAGAAGGTCACACACATGGAGAAGCCATTTGTGTCCTTGAGCAGCATCTCCTGGCTAGGGTTGTCACGGTGTGAAAATTTAACCTCACGGTTATTTCGACCAAAATTACCACGATTTTCAGTATTATCGCGGTATTTCTTTAAACGTGTTACATTTTCAGACAACTAAATAAACCCTGAATATCAGGAAAATATTGTCCTCAGTTTGTGTCTAAATTTTGCCTAAAATGTGTTATTTTGTAATTATGTTATTTGTTTACAATTTTCCCCTTTAGTCTTTAAAATACCAATATTTGCCCATAAATATTAGATCAGGTGATACTCAGTACTCAATTAGCCTTCTAATCAGATACTTGTTTACCCTTACTTGAGTAATAAACCCTATATCAGGAAAATATTGTCCTCAGCTTGTGTCCTTCCAGTGAGCTTTGCAGATGTGGGAAAATGTCATCAGGCAGTAATCATTGTTAAATTCATAATTATTCTCGGAGAGAGACCAACTCTTATCTGCCCCTGGGAGCCCCGTAATGCATAGCGTCATTTCAACATGGGGGTGTCCGCGACACGGTTTATATGCAGGTAAAGGCGCTGCGGCTGCTTTATATAGCGACTCGTTGCATTCTCCCTCAACCCAAATCCTCGGATCACGCATTTTAGCTAAAACGCTAACGTTAGCTTGCCTTGCGTTGACTGTAGAGTTGTGGGTGATGGTCACGCAGATGTGTCAAGAGATCTGAAGCGTTGCTGCCTTTCACAGACACTTTTTCTGCACGTGCTGCAAACAGGATAGCCGTCTTCTCGGCAATCTTCAAATATCCAAAAGATGCCCGTACTTCCGACTTTATCTTCTTTGAGGGATAATAAATGTCCTGAGTGCTGCCGTCTCCTCCTTTGGCCATTATTTCAGCTTTAGCTTCAAGAAAGTTTTGGTTGTAAACAGCAAAGTGCACATGTGCCGCCGACAACTTCAGTAGATGATACGGTGGCTGGTAAGGGTCACCGCGCCTACACCGCAGCCACGGTAATCCACCGAGATAAATTTTTTTTTAAACAAGGTGATTATTATTATTGCCCACTTTTGTACCGGGTTTACCGCTACAACGGTTACCGTGACAACCCTACTCCTGGCAAACATAAAGCCACGTTATGTTTACACAGACTTCAGTCGTCTAACAAAACAAAACCAATTCCATCATAGGGTTGTCACGGTAACCGGTATAGCGGTAAACCCCGGTAAAAAAGTTGACAATAAAAATAACCGTCCAGTTTTTAAAAAACTATATTATCTCGGTGGGTTTACCGTGGCCGCGGTTTCGGCGCGGTGACCCTTACCAGCCACCGTCGCTTCAGCTGAAGTTCCCGCGGTGCGCACACGCACTTTTTAATTTGCAACGGCACCAAAACTTTGAAGCTGAATAATGGCCGAAGGAGGCGACGGCAGCGCCCAGGACATCCATCCGACCTCAAAGAAGACTAAATCGGAAGTATGGGCATATTTGGGATTTCTGAAAAATGCTGAGGGACAGTTAATAGAAGACTGCTATCCCGTTTGCAGAACGTGCAGGAAACAAGTGTCTGCAGAAGGCAGCAACACTTCGAATCTCATGGCACATCTGCGTGACGATCACCCACGTCTCCACAGCCAGTGCAAGGTAAGATAACATTAGCATTTTAGCTTAAATGCATGACGTGAGGACTTTTGGTTGAGGGAGAATGCAACGAGTCACTATATACTGCAGCCGCAGCGTCCTCTGCCAGCATTTAAACCGTGTCACGGACACCCTGTTGCTGGATGAAGCATCTTATTTGTTGATGATGAAGAGAAATATACAATTAGTTCCTTGTCATGGATTTGTTTACTTATTCAATGCCATTTATACTTGAACATTTGGATTTGATTACATAGTGTAGTAGTTATTTTAGTAATTTGTTTAAAGTGGCTATTTGTTTTAAATACATATTTTTTAAGGTTGACTTGTACAGTGCTCAAGTCAAGTGTGGACTGGAGTTTTAGATTTTCATTTTGATAATGAAGAAAACAAGTATATGAGAAAACAAGTGGTGTTTCTTTGATTTGTTTACATATTGTTTATGTTTTGAATGTTTGGATTTGTATAATTTAAACCTGCACTGACTACTGTAACAAGTTCCAGAAAAATAAGCTATTTGTTCCTTTACTTGTGAAAAGTTGCACTTTTGCTAAGGCTTTGTGTTATTTTAGGTTTAATAAACACTGTTAAACCTTTTCAGAACTATTTCAGTTTGTGTAGAACAGGACTATCAATGCTTTCTGAACATATGCAACACCGTTTAAAAAATACCGCGATAATACCGAAAACCGTGATAATTTTGGTCACAATAACCGTGAGGTTAAATTTTCATACCGTGACAACCCTATTCCATCACTGATAGAAAACAACAAATGGGAATCTGCGATGTGCTCTGACATGCCAACACCAACAAATAAAAACAAAGGCCCACTCAAAACAGGGTTGATGCAACGCCTCACCTGTCAGCCTCATCAAACACCACGTATTCCACGCTGTGCAGCTTCAGGTTCATGTCCCTGACGACATGCATGAGACGGCCAGGAGTGCCGATGATTCTAAGAGAGAAGAACGGGATTTAGGATTTCATAACATAAATGAGCGACTTTTCTTAAAAACTTATTTTAATGGCTTACATGTCAGGGTTTTCATGAAGAGCAGCAAACTGGTCCTCCATACTGGATTTTTAAAAAGCATATTTACCATTACTCCACAGTTAAACAAACACAGAGAAAATAGGTGCAGTGAGTGAGTCACACACCTGTCTCCACCAAGGATCAGAGCAGTCTTCAGGCCCGTGAACTTTCCCAACTAAAACATCCCCCAAAGTCAAGATGAAACAGTGAGTTTAGAATAAATACATGGTTTGATTGAATATGTCTGAGTGTGGCTGGCATGCCTCTTTTGTGAACTTCATGGTCTGCAGGGCCAGCTCTCTGGTGGGGGCCAGGATGAGCGCCCGGGCTCCTGTTTGGGCTTGAGGAGCTTTCAGCTTCTCGAACATCGGAACCAGGAAGGCAGCTGTCTTACCGCTGCCCGTCCGAGCCATCGCCACGACGTCCTTTCCATCCAGAATCATGGGGATAGTCTGAGGGGAAGATAAGAACCACAATGAAACATCAAAACGACACTGATGTCGGTCTTCAGGATCTGAAAGTGTCTTCGACTCGCCTTTCTTTGAATGGGGGTAGGCACTTTGTAACCCTTCTTCATGACACCCTTGAAAACGGGGAAGCTAAGACCTGCCATGAAACCAAAAAGGAGCTCAACTCTGTTGTCTGAAAAAAAGAGGTAAATATAGAAAAGTAAGCCTTTTTATATAACTTACCCATGGACTGAAACCCTCCAGACTTTTTCTTCTTCTTGTTTTGGGCCCTGACGAGCTCCCTGGTGTCAGGCTCCACATCTGACAGGCAATCTGATGCTGCGGGGAACCGCGGCAGCTTCCTACCTGGCTGTGAGAGACGGCAGGACAACTGGGTGAATGACCACTTATGATAGATGCTCATGGTGGGAAACTCCACTTGATGCTTTTCAAGAGGAGCTCTGCCGCTGAGCTACACCCCACTGAGCAACAAGTGTGTGTTTTTACAGGGTCGTTACTTACTGAGTCGTCGTCTTTCATCTCCGCAGCCAGCTCAAAGTCTCCGCCGTCAGAGTCGGACTGCGGCTCCCTGCTAGCCGTGTGTTTCTTCTTCTTCGTCAGTTTCTTCTTTCTCTGAGCCATTACGTCGCTTTTATCTATTTACAACTCACAGTTAATAACTTAGAGTTCAAAGTTAAAAACAAAACGAAATGAAACTATTTATTTATAGTCTTGCCAGTACTCAACAACACACTAGGCAGACATATTGGAAACACGTGTCGACTTCTTCTTCTGCTTGTTTTCTGCTTCTTCTCTCCTTCTTCGGCGTTGTCACGTTTGGCTTGCACTGCCATCTATTGGTGGGGAGGAAACAATAATAATAATAATAATAATGATACATAATACATTTTATTTGAGGGCGCCTTTCTCAAACCCAAGGTCACCTTACAAAGATAAAAACAAAAACAACATAGGTTAGATAGGGCAATAAGAACAATCAGGATACATAAAAATTTGAAACAACTCTAAAGTCTAGGTCTAAAGGCAATAAACTTGTTTGAATACGTGGGTTTTGAGGTGTGCCTTGAATAATGGAAAAGAGTCTGTATTTCTAATGGCAGAGGGAAGTGAGTTCCAGAGCCGTGGAGCAGAGCAACTGAAAGCTCTGCTCCCCATGGTGGTAAGGTGAGCTCGAGGTTGAACCAGATGAAGTGCAGATAAGATCTAAGAGATCGGGAAGTGTTAGCAATAGATAAAACGGAGCCATGCTATGTACAGATTTAAATGTAGGATCTTGTATATGATCCTGGTTTCTATTGGCAACCAATGTAGGTTTTTTAGAACAGGAGTGATGCGATTTCTTGAGGGGGTACCAGTAATGATGCGTGCTGCAGAGTTCTGGAGAAGTTGGAGTTTATGAAGGGATTTAGTTGGGAGACCAAATAGAAGGGAATTACAGTAGTCGACGCTATATATATATATGTGTGTGTGTGTATATATATATATACGTATATATACATATATATGTACATATATATACACACACATATATTTATACATATACACACACACACACACACACACACACACACACACACACATATATATATATGTGTGTGTGTGTGTGTGTATAAATATATGTGTGTGTATATATATACGTTCATATATATATATATATATATATATATATATATATATATATATATATATATATATATATATATATATATATGTATATATATATATATATGTGTGTGTATATATGTATATATATATATATATATATATATGTGTGTGTATATATGTGTATATATATATATATATATATATATATATATATATATATATATATGTGTGTGTGTGTGTGTGTGTGTGTGTGTATATATGTACATATATATGTATATATACGCATACATATATATATTTATATATGTATATATATGTATATATACTGTATATATATATATATATATATATATATATATATATATATATATATATATATATATATGTATATGTGTATATATATATGTATATATATATATATATATGTGTGTGTGTATATATGTATATATGTGTGTATATATATATATGTATATATGTGTGTATATATGTATATATATGTGTATATATATGTATATATGTATATGTGTGTATATGTATATGTGTGTGTATATGTATATGTGTATATATATGTATATATGTGTGTATATATGTATATATATGTGTATATATATGTATATATGTATGTATATATGTATATATGCACATATGTGTATATGCATATATATATGTATATGTATATATATTTATATGTGTATATATATGTATATATGTATGTGTATATATATATGTATGTATATGTGTGTGTGTGTGTTGGTGTGTGTGTGTTTTGTACTTGATTTGCATTGACATTGTTTATAAACAAGTGCTATCATTATAAAATGCATTTTAACTTTTACACACATTATTTTAATATTGTCACATAGTAGAAAAGCTTTCTGCAAACAATTTACAACCAATATCAGAATCAGAAATACTTTATTGATCCCTGTAGAATTTTTCTATAACGTGTGTAACGCAGAAAGAAAAATCTCCACATGGTGTACTGATGCAATGATGCAATGAAATATTGTATTTATGATTGATGCAATATAAAAATTTGTCCTTTCTACGATAACGCTGACTTCTGTAAAGCAGCCAAAATGTGTGTTACTGTGTTTGACGCCAGTGGGCTGATGCACAGTTAAGTAAAACACCATGGCAACAGCTTGGAGCCAAATCTATTCATGTTCTCTCAAACAGCCTGGCAGCAACGGGTAAGAACTAAATCTGCTCAGGATAGTGAGAGGGCGGCAGGGTTTACTGACAGGCAGTGTGTGCAGGAAGTTGTCTGTAACATATATTCATAGGGAATTTAGGCAATGAAGCCTGTGAGGGTTAAGAAAGTGCTTTTGCTAAGACTTCCTGTCATCAGATATGAGGGAAAAAGTCTGTTATTTAGTTGTCTTGACCCTACTTAGACAAAGAAGAAGTCATCCATTGGATGTGAAGCTGTCTGAAGGAGAAAAACCACTATTGCCCACCAGGCGCTGGCCTAAGAGTGACTAATCAAAGTAATAATGAGGAAGCTCTTTGCCTGGGGCATAAACTAAACCAGCTGAGAGGTATACTATACAGAATGATTTTTTTGTAGGCTGTTTTAGCATTCTTCACATGATAATGATGTAGTTTTAGGGCCTTTAAAGTTAAAACATCAGGAGAAAACTTGCATAATGAAGGTCTGGCATTGCTGGAAGCAGTGCTAATCATAGCTGCCTTTTAAGCAAGAATTTAAACCTAAACAAGGAGTCTGCAATCTGTGGTTCTCAGGCCGTTTGTGGTTCTGCAGCCACTTTAACCAAAAAGCAACATGAACCAATTCAGTGTTAGCAGTTTTTTATGCCCAAATATTTGGAATACTGCATAGGATTTTAAAAAAAAGGCACTGGAAATACAAAAAGATTGGGAAGCAGGCTTGGAGTTTTAAAAGGAAGTAACGGATGTACCACTTGTAAATGACTCTAGTACACAGCTTTGCATAATTTCTATACCAGAATGTGCAGATCCAGTTTCTGCTTAAATTCACGTTTTTTAGCTCATTCTTTGTTGAGTTTCTGCAGCATTCATGATATCCAAAATCCATTAGAAAATAAATATTTTCTTATTTGGCAAACTGCTGCAAAAGCAGAAAAACCTTTGATCCCAACGCTTAAAAAGTAAGGTTCTGAAACTTGATAGTGAGTTATTTTTTTATAAAACATTTAAAAGCTAGGTGTGTCATCACTTTATGGAAATAGCTGTGGCGTAATTAAACAAAAAGTATAAAAGTAGCTTGGGGTTGCTCAACGGCAAGACTCAGTCAAGCAACCCCAATTCTTGACCACCCATGGCACTGATAGTAGATAAAACTGTAACGTGATGGAGGTGCTATTCCACCGAAGGTTATTTACCCTCTCTCCACAGATGCCTCTGACACAGAACTAGTCTGCATGAGACTGCCTCAAGGTCATGCATTTGCGTCTAAACTGCTTCCTTTCCAGCTCAAGAGAAGAATGAAGATGAAGGACACTTTCCTTTTAATTAATCAAATAACTCTATTTTTAATAAAGCTAATCAAACAAAGTCATCGTTGTTGTTTTCCTCCGCTTATCCGGATCCGGTTCGCGGGGGCAGCATCCCAACTAGGGAGCTGCAGACCGTCCTCTCCCCGGCCTTCTCCACCAGCTCCTCCGGCAGGACCCCAAGGCGTTCCCGGACCAGATTGGAGATGTAACCTCTCCAACGTGTCCTGGGTCGACCCGGGGGCCTCCTGCCGGCAGGACATGCTTGAAACACCTCCCCGGGGAGGCGTCCAGGAGGCATCCTGACCAGATGCCCAAACCACCTCAACTGACTCCTTTCGATCCGGAGGAGCAGCAGTTCTACTTCGAGTCCCTCCCGAATGTCCGAGCTCCTCACCCTATCTCTAAGGCTGAGCCCAGCCACCCTACGGAGGAAACTCATTTTGGCCGCTTGTATCCGCGATCTCGTTCTTTCGGTCATTACGCAAAGCTCATGACCATAGGTGAGGATTGGGACGTAGATCGACCGGTAAATCGAGAGCCTGGCTTTCTGGCTCAGCTCCCTTTACACCACGACAGATCGGCTCAGCGTCCGCATCACTGCAGATGTTGAACCAATCCGCCTGTCGATTTCCCGATCCCTCCTACCCTCACTCGTGAACAAGACCCAGAGATACTTCAACTCCTCCACTTGAGGTAGGACCTCTCCCCCGACCCGAGTTGGCAAGCCTCCCTTTTCCGGTCGAGAATCATGGTCTCAGATTTGGAGGTGCTGATCCTCATCCCAGCTGCTTCACCCTCGGCCACGAACCTACCCAGCAAGAGCTGAAGGTCAGAGCTGGATGAAGCTAGGAGGACCACATCATCCTCAAAAAGCAGAGACGAGCTTCTCCTGCCACCAAACTCGGCACACTCCACACCATGGCTGCGCCTAGAAACTCTGTCCATAAAGGTAATGAACAGAACCGGTGACAAAGGACAGCCCTGGCGGAGTCCAACCCTCACCGGGAACAGGTCCGACTTACTACGGCTATGCGGACCAAATTCACGCTCCTCTGGTAAAGGATTGGCCCTTAACAGAAAGCCACCCACCCCATACTCCTGGGGCGTCCCCCACAGGGTGTCCCTGGGGACACGGTCATAAGCCTTCCTCAAATCCACAAAACACATGTGGATTGGTTGGGCAAACTCCCATGCCCCCTCCATCACCCTTGCAAGGGTATAGAGCTGGTCCACAGTTCCACGGCCAGGACGAAAACCACATTGCTCCTCCTCAATCTGAGATTCAACTATTGATTGGACCCTCCTCTCCAATACCTTGGAGTAGACCTTTCCAGGGAGGCTGAGGAGTGTGATCCCCCCATAGTTGGAACACACCCTCAGGTCACCCTTCTTAAAGATGGGGACCACCACCCCGGTCTGCCACTCTACAGGAAATGCCCCCCAATGACCACGCAATGCTGCAGAGACATGCCAACCATGACAGCCCTACAACATCCATAGCCTTGAGATCCCCAGGACGAACCTCATCCGCCCCCGGGGCTCCGCCGCTGTGTACTTGTTTGACTGCCTCAGCAACTTCTGCCCCCGAGATTGGACAGTCCATCCCCAGGTCTCCCGGCTCTGGTTCCTCCTCGGACTGCGCGTAGGTGGGATTGAGGAGCTCCTCAAAGTATTCCTTCCACCGTCTGACTATAGCC